CGGGCCCGCGCGCGGGAAGGATATTCTCGGCGCGGAGCTGCTCCAGGCTGTCCTCGCACTGCCGCAGCCGCTCCCGCAGCTCCGCGTCGCCCACCCCGTGCTCGTCGCCCTCGTCGCCGTCGCCGTCCTTGAAGCGCGTGTGAACGGGCTTGGGAAGCGACTCCTCCGGGTGGTCGAACGCCTCGAACAGCTCTAAATCGCCAAAATCCACCTCTGCCGCCATCTTGGGCTGTGGGAAAGATCCGAGGGGAGGCGGAGCTGGCCACCCAGGCCGGGGGCAAGGATCGTAGGGCGGCACCTCTCTCTTTCTCACTCTCCCTAGGGCGCTAGGCCACCCTGTACGGTTTTCTGCAAACGTAGGCCCCGGAAGCTGCACAAGGGGCGGGCGGGTCCCGAGAGACTACGACTCCCAGAATGCAATGGCGCCCCGCCCCTCACGCCCGCTTCCCAGGTGGCCCGGGAGCGTGGCATGCTGGGACTTGTAGTTTCTAAGCGACTGTTCACTCATTGTTTGCATTGCGCACTGGGATTGGTCCTTTTCAAACGTTAACAAAGCTCGAGTGAATCACCGTGTTCAGACAATGCGGGTTGTCCCGGTCCTGCAGCGGAGGCTGGAAAAGGAGCGCAACGCGTGGTTTATCCCGGGTTCCGCGGTGCGTGCCAAGCAGCCATGAGCGCCGGGAACGCCAGTTTGATCGTGGACTACCGTTGTGGTCTTGGACAGCTATTCAGTTTACTGGGCTTGCTTCCCCTTTTCACGAAAAACTAGCTGGATTGTCCTGGCTGGGTGGGTCGGTGGGTCACCAAAAGGTTTCGGGTCCGATTCCCAGTGAGGGCACATACCTAAGTTGTGGGTTCATACAGGAGGCAACCGATTGATGTTTCGCTCGCACTTCAATGTTTTTGTCTCCCTTCCTCTCTCTAAAATCAAGAAACATATCCTGGATGAAGATAAATTGCTAAATTAAACTGTTTTAGATTTGTCTTGTGCACGGAAAAGGGGACACATGTTGACAAGCTCAGGGGAGGCCGGCATGGCGGCCTTGCAGAGCTAAACTCACGAGACCTGAAGTAGCCACATAGAAGGGTCTGAAATTAAAGCTTTCTAACGAGGCAATTCATGGCAGGTAGTCAGGTCCTGGGCAGGTATCTTTCTGGAGAAAGGTCAATCTTTACCTTAACTGAGCCTATCTGTCTTTTTGCATCGTGATAACATACCTTTGGAATGTCAGGCTAATTTCCTTTTTCCAGACCCCTCAGGGCACAATCTCCCACTAGAGCGGGAGACTACAGAGTCCCTCATTATTATCATGTTAACTGTTAATGACCCTATATCCACCTACGTAAAAGGAATGTGTGTTCATTTGTTTTACACCAAGGTTTAGGCTTCGACCTCTAGTCAGGATACACACAAGAAGCAACCATTGAATGCATAAATAAATGGAACAAATCAGTTTCTCCCTCTTCCCCTTTCTCTGAAGTCATTATGAAGTTTTTTAAAACATTTAAAAACCACCCATTTAAGTATATAATTAAACCTTTTGGCCTATGGAACTGATTGATATATAAAACAGAACTTGTTTCCATCTCCTTCCACCAAATACTTCTTAAATGGTATTTTCTAAACTTGCAATAAAATTCACCCAAGTTGGAAACCTCATCTGAATTACCGTTTTCCTGAACACCTACACACAACTATGAAATCCTACCTTACCTTTCAAGTTAGCCTCAAACCCAACTGCTCTCACACTGCTCAGCACACCTTGCCTCAAATAGTGTGGTCTAATCTTTACTGCCCTGCTTCCCCACCATGTATCTCCCTGGACAGCAACCATCTTCCTGTTGCTTAAAAGGGTAAAGCCAGAACATCCATCATGGAGCACAAGGCTTTGAAATATAAAGCGCATTAACAGCCAGAAAAAAAGGGGTAGCAAAAGGGTTAATAAAATCTATGGAATACATCTCCCCTATAAACTTATTTCCAATTGAGTGAAGCAGTTTACTGGCCTCCCAACCTTGGACTCCAATAATTGCTTCTTAAAGTTTAATTATAAAACTTAAAATTATCAATGTCTCCCTCTAGATCTGCACTGTTTAATATGAATATGGTTGCCCCTGGCTACATCTGGCTGGGCCCAATTAGGATGCGTCAAAATGTAAAATGCACACTGGATTTAAAGCATTTTGGTATGAAAAGAATGTAAAATATTAACTAAAAATACTGATTACTTGTTGAATTATTTTAGTTGTACTAGTCTCACATTTAAACTTGGCTACTAGTTTTTAAATTGCTGCAGTAGATGAGTGCAGAATTCTTTCTACCCATGTCTTTCATTCTATGGCAAACTCCTAAAATACTGTAGAGAAATACAGGAAGCAGTTAATGCGGGCTTTTGTATCCACTATGCCTTACAAGTCCATGAAAATTTTAATGAAATTGATTTAAGAAGGTATACACAAAACTGAAAAATGGATCTGTGATGCCAAAATGAAAAATCATGGTGTCATTTCCCTATGAACTTGATTTTGTCATTGAAGCATGAAGCCATTTCTCTACAGAACTACTGTACTCTGGAAAAAACGAATTTGAACTTTTACCAAAATAAGTCTTCCCATGTTGTATTGTGCTACTACATTGTGGCGATCTTTCCCAAAGAATTTTTCCAGGGAAAGCTAATGAATTACAAGTTCTGTAGTCCCCTCCCCTCACCAAATTTATGCCCTTGTCAACTTAGTAGCAAAGTGGTTTTCTAATGGTGTAGTACTTTAATTTACGCTGGAGAAGACTTCAAAGTGATAATGAGTGAAGGGCATACAAAGAACTTGTTATAAGGCACTTTATTAAAATAAAAGTGCTTACATCCCTTTAAGGTATTAGTCTATTTCCTGAATAACATATGGAATATTTAACAAATACTGTACACCAATTCTGTCCCTTGTAAGAGTAGGAAAACAGTATTGTTTTAATAACTTTGCTTACTCCTAACTTCCTTTTACATTTTTGCTCACTATGGTACTGCCAAAGCTTTTTTTTAAAGAAAGGAAATTTTAGCAAGTGTTTTCTAATAGCAATTGCAAAATGCTACAGAAACCATAAAACAAATTAAAATAATTCCAGGTAACTTAAATTAACACCAGTTTTGAGAAAACCATTTTTATTATCACCACCACCCAGCTCATTTGTGCTGGTATGTACCAAATGGCCAGATCGTCTATACCAAATGGCCAGATCGTCTAAAGAACATCTACATAACATCTTTCATGTTTCAAGAGATGAAAATAACTGTACAAGGTTAAGTACAAAAGTACACAAGACAGCGGACACAAAAAAACCCATGTATGAGATTTTATCCCACCTGCAGCTTTTATATATATTTTGAAAGTAGAATTCATCAACTAAAAATATTGTCCTTCTATAGTCCTGTCAAATTTAATGGAAGTGGGTTTAACCTAATTACAACACTAACACCAGTATCACTGATCTGATATTTACAAAAAATTGTTATTTTTCAATAAATTAAAGTCAATGCAACACCCATGCAAGCTAGAATGCTAGCTGTTTGGTGAACAAGGACCTGACATCAGAACCGAAGTCTAGAAAGTTCCAAACATTAAGTGTGATCCTTCTCAAACTGCATCCATTCCTCGCATTGACGATGTGAAACCCAGTCCCATTCCTCTCTGGGTGTGGGTCTGTGACCTTGCCATTTCATACTGAGCATCCAGATTTCTAAATACTTCTTCCTGTTGCTTCAGAGTCTTGTAACTTTCTTCATCGACTGAGCTACACCCAGCTTCATCTTCGCTCTGAACATCAGATAGAAAACATTATCAGAATGAATTCAGGTGGGAATAAAAAGTGCTTCTCTCATGTCACAGCACCAGTAAATTACATATTTAGGATACATATTTGACCTCAATTACTTTGCTTCATTCATTCATTCAGCACCAATCCTTT